GTGCCGCACCAAATTTTCAACACGTTTAGGCTAATATAACTTAATATTAAACTATAGTTTAAAACAAGATCCGTTGCCTTTTTATACGTTACATTTGCTTTACACGAAAAAAAAAAAGACAAATATAAAATAAGGTAGCACGCTCTATCCTTCGGCCGCGTCTTCACTTAGGTTAAGTGGAGTCGTGGTCAAGCGCTGGTTTATTTATGTTAAAAAAAAACTTATTTATACTTAAAGTTTATAGTCATTTCAATGTTTAAATGACTTATTTTTTTTATTGTGTAATTAAATTATTTAAACTTGCGTGAGACACTGGAATGAAAAACTAAAGTAGCCTATGTGTTCATCCAGACTATCCCCATGCCTTTTTTCGAGATCCTTTCAGCTGTTTAGGCTTCAATCTGTAATAAACATCCATCCATCCTTCTAAACTCACGCATTTATAAAATTACAGTCGGCGTACACCTTTGACTAGACAATCGCACGCTGTTGTGCGATTTTCGATTGTTTCGCACCCCAATCAACTGTTTAGTTGCACAACGAATTGCACAATAGATTAGTCTAAGGCATGCGCATGCCCTTTCTTAGATAATAAACCTAAATAGGGTAATTTTTTAGTACTATAAGAAATTATAACATTATTTGTACCCATCATATTTAAAAAAAACATATGAACATCAATATCGAAAAGTTATTCTGAAAAAACTTAAAATTAGGTTGATTTTAAAACATGGTGTATGTGTATACACAGACTAAGATACCGCCTGTAATCATATTTTCCGCCTTATTCTAATTCATAAAAAGCGGCAATGGCATTTGCGTACTCTTACATATCTAAGGATAACGGTGGTCAATTCGTACCTATACATAAACTTTTCAATTTTGTCCAACACAAGAATTGAAAAGTAAAAAAAGTCCGACATTTACTTCACATGTTTTACACATATGATCAGGCAATTAAGAAGTATTTGGTGGGACAGCCCCCATGTATCTTAACGAATAGTTGAAAATTTGTAGAAATACCTATGCAAAATTTCGTGCCTTTACACAACAGTTTATTTTTTTGATGGTTTTACTAAATTAATCCTGTAAAGTTCTAAATATGGTAGTGATTTTTATATGTGTGATGTCATTCCTTTAATAGGAGTATTTGTTAATTGACTCAAACAAAAATTGGTCAAGAATTAGGTGGTTTAGACTTTAAATAAGGGTAGAAACTCCACGACTAAAAGTGACAAAAAAATCTTAAATAACTTAGACAGAAAACGCCCTTCTTGTAACTATTGCTAATAATGTTATAAATGCGAAAGTTTAGATAAATGGATGTATGGAAGGATGGATGTTTGTTAGAGTTTGTAGCCTAAACGGCTGATCGGATTTCGATGAAATTTGGTACAGATGTAGACGACAGCCTGGAGGAGCACATAGGCTACACACTTTTGTTTTTTAATTACACGCGGGCGGAGTCGCGGATGAAAGCTAGTTGTGTCCATATTTCTGAATAATACATTTGCTTGGTAGTTTTTTATCCTCCATGGCGGGCGTGCGTATATCGAAGATAATGAAATAATAATTGCGTAATGTATGAAACACAGTCCTTCAATGTTTAGTGAAAATTGCACAATACTATCTAACCGGATTGCAAAGATTTACAGAGATTAACTTGTAAGCGTCCGGACACCATCTAATGACAACTGCCGGCCATCGTTCGATCGCCGCCATGACATCGACAAACCCATTCAGGGTTGTCAAACAAATTAAATCTTGCCAGTTCGGAGTTATTAATTTTTTTTAAAGTGGTAAGAATATCATCCGTCAAAATTAAGTCTAACGCAAGTTGTGTATGTTTATAATCAAAATTGCAATTTATTGTAAAAATGTAAAGATAAGAATGTCAATTGTTTTATTTATGTAACATGTATTATTTTAAATATTGCTTTTAATACATTTTGTATGAATACTACAAAATATTGTTTTCCACAACTATTTCAATTCGTTTTTTGCATGAAAAACAAACGGAAGGGTAATTACTTTTTTAGGTTTTAAGCTACAGAATTTGCGGATTTTTGAAAAAACTTGTAGAAAAAATAGTTTCTATAGAATTATAATTAAAGCTTGTCAAAATCTAAAAAAAGAAAGTAGAATTATTATTTTCTTCTCATGTGAATTGTTAAAAAAAAATAACCTAACCACCCTGTATAGTAAGAGTGAAATTAAAATTTAAAATCCACTCATTATTTACAAATCATGTATACTAATATTATAAAGAAGATAGATTTGTGTTTTTGTATGTATTGAAATAGCAAAACCTATGGGGCCTACAGAAAAAAAGTTTTTGTTTTCTTACACTGATACAAAAGGGGGAAAGGGAATTTTAAAACAAAAACGTGTGGGATGTTAAGTACATATTTAAATTCTTTCAACCCCCGCTTGTGTTTGTTTTTTTTTTTGCTTAAATCTGTAATCTTGAGCTCCCGCAGACCATAACAGGCTTTCTATCAAGCGATAATTTGATCCGGTCAGGTTGTTAAAGCAAAACAACATTATACTAAATCAATATGATGTGCGCTCATACATGTTCAAAGTGATTCAGCTCCGGGCTAAACTATCAGCCGATAAAAGCCTGTAGTCTGCCAGGGGTCTTTTCGTGACGTAATTATGCTACATGTCTGAAATGCGATGGTTCTATTTATTTCGTTTCAGATCCAAGCTCTATATACAAGTGTGAGCGACATAGCAGATACTGCGTTTTACGGCTCACGGTGCACTACAGTTTACCGGGCGAGAGCTGAATTCAGTCCAATTTGAGCTTTCAGTGGGTAAAGATCGTTACGAGTGCGTACCCGAAATTTCATCCCTGAAAATGTCTACTGGTAAGTATATGATTATTTGTAATATAATTCTTTACATCTTAAATTATTGAATATTATTAAGTTTTCACATTTTTATTTATTAAATATTCTATTAATGCGAATTCATTTATTGAACACTGGCGCGCGCATATGCTTCGCACATATGATAGTTTTATATAGCGATGTTTTGACATATATCTTATTCGTCTCGGCTAAGTGATGTTGATCTTTTGTGTTAAATGATAATTGCAATTTGATTCTTGTTTATATTTAGTGCGAAGTATTGATTTCGTAAATTTTAATTCGTATTAAAAATATGCTAACTGTACCTAAGACTGTTATAATAAAATATCAAAAATTAGCAGACTTTAGTATTAATAAAACAAATAAAATCGTATTAAAATAGAAAATAAAAGTGTGAATGTGACTGATTTTCTCATTATTAAGTACAGTACTTAGATATGTAAATCAATAAAAAAAGGTACATTCTGGGATTAAAAATAATAATTTTAGTATTAAAGGAGAAAGCTAATTAAAAGTTTATTGAGTATTTTATGAGATACAATGTCGTTGTGATTGTTGTAGAAATAAAAAATCTCTGACAAGGCCTATATACAAGTTTGAAGCAACAAGTGAAAGCTCCATGTTTTGCTGATTGCATATTCTGATTTATTAATTCATACTTCTATAGGAAGTGTTAATTGGTTGTATATTTTTTTAGCCAAATATATCTATGTCCTTATCAGTCCTAATGTTTATATAAGTTCATAAATTAGTGGACTTTATGAATTTGATTTTTTATATGTTTATACTAGTAGAACAAATCTTTTCTGGCGACCTAAGAATAACCTACCAAATATTCATCACCATAGACTAACAGTTAGAGAGGGATAGCGTGATAATGTATGTAATTTTAATAATGCCTTAATATTTAATGGAGGAAGGGTTAAAATAATTAATATAACAATTCCTATATGATTGTACACAATGTTTAGGTCTTATTTTTATGCAGTTATCTATACTATTTTTCTAGGCGGAGTATTCAAGCTGTTTCAATTGCCAAAAGACATGTATAATAAACATATTTGTTTTATGTGGCGTTTGTCATATACAGGGTGTTTCTAATGAAACGAATCAAAAGATTTGTGGAGGTTTAGGGCCTCAACATCTACCGTTTAAGACGAATGTAAAGGCGATTTTCAATAGATTAAAAGTTACTTAAATTTTTTTTAAAAAAAATCCATTTTCCAATCTGAATTATAGTTTTATTTAACGTAATATCATATACTAATGTTTTTTTTATAAACCTAAGAGTTGTTTTTATCTTGTTTGTTTTTAATTTAAAAAATAATTAAGATACATTGTTTTGAATCAGAAACAACGCGATACAAACACGATAGCTTTTTTTTATTTTTTTTTTAACAATCAGAAAGAAGTAGAATGAAGTTGGTGTACGAAAATTTTTTGGATCCACTAGTATATTGCATTCGAAAATATGATATTTACGTTTTAAATAACTTAAGATACTCTGTAAAACTTGACACATAAATTGATCTTTAACAATAGACATTCTGGTGCATACTTCCACAAAGTTTTTAATCTGCCGCTTAAAGAAACACCCTATGTACTTGTGTATAAACAGGACTTGTTTCAAGAGGACAAACAATTTAACTAACAAGTAAAGCAGTTGGGAAGTATTACTTACAAATACCTTTTATCTTTTCAGATGTTGAAATGCTGGGTAGCTTTAAAATATTAATATCTCCGGATAATGATGACATTTTTAGGTTTCTGACTTTCAGTTCTCTTACTGTCAAAACACATAGCTCTCATCATGGCAGGGTTATTTGTGTAATAAACCCTCAAATTAATTGTATTTCTTTTACTGCTGTTAAAGATGGGGATACAATTATTTTAAAAGTGATTAAATGTTTTTATGTTCATCTGTGCCCACACACTAATACAAGTGTGCACTACCTTTGTATACCAATACTAAATATTACTTCAGATATCAATAATTTTCAAGTAAATAAAAAGATAAAATTAATACAAAAAGCTGTAAACCCAGCAAATAATACAGATCATTGTTTACTTACCCAGCCATCTACAAGTTACCTTATCCTGAAACCTATGTCTCCTAATTCTAACATGTTAGGTACAATTCTAAAGCTATGCGAGCAAACGTCTCAAAGAAGTACAGTATCAGATAAGCAACTGATGCAAATGGTCACTGCGAAGGCGATGATACCAGGGATGTTTAAAATAGTGGTATTCTTTATAAAGGCCTCTACAATACCTGTCACGACCACAAACGAACCGATTATTCCAAATACAAACGAACCTATAAAAGTATCAGTGGAAATAGCAATTTTTGAGAAGAACACTTTGAATAGTAATGGTTAGTATCGCTTTAAATAGTTAATTTTAATAGAAACACACACACACACACACACACACACACACACACACACACGCGCGCATACTTAGAAATAAACCTGGACAGTGCGTGTAAACAATTTCTTGACAAACACCTACTTTTATACTACTATATAGCTTTTCAAATTTAAAAAAAGCTACCCAGTTAAGCACAACGTTTAGGGTGTATGGGACAATTGCAGTGGACAATCTTGTTTGTACATTTTTACTTCTACTAATACTAGAACATAAATTGAGCCTAAACGATAGATATTGTAGCCCGCTACCTCAACAAAACTTTTGATCTGTCGCTTAACGAAACACTCTACAGAGTGTAATATACATATTAATATAGGTGCTTGGCTGTATCATTCGATCAAATAAACTGATTGCGATGTATTTCATAAAATGTTTTATGTTTTCAGATCCCAACATATCAAGTGGATTCCAAGTAACAATATTTATGGACAACAGTAATTCTTCGGAAGACATACGTATTAATTATGTTACTGTGGAAATACCTGGCACTGATCAAATTAAAACAATACATAACTTCAGTAATCCTGACACAGAAAACATGTCTTTTCTTGTTTTTAGAAACAATGATAATATTAGCCTATGGCCGATAAAATCTCGAAAGGTAATGCAGAACACCGTCTTCACTACAAATCAAACGGACGAGTCGGATCAGTCTGTTCAGCCGGGTACATCGGGTCAGTCTGTTCAGCTGGGTCCGTCGCGTCAGTCTGTTCAGTCGGGTCCGTCGGGTCAGTTTGTTCAGCCGGGTCCGTCGGGTCAGTCTGTTCAGCCGG